CATACTGCATGTGTCTGTGGATACTTGTGCGAAGCCTGTTTCTTATTTTCCTGAGGACTTCTAATGCTATATCATCTGATCAACGGACTACGAACTTTGCATGTTGTAGCGGTTCACACCCGGCTATAAGGTACTTTGTGTACTAAAGGAGTATGCAAAGTAGCGTGAGTGGAAAGGACTAAAGAGGAGAAGAACAAAAAGTGGTGAGTCAGTGACGCAGCATACACATATGATGGACTTACATTTATTGAGGAAAGCAATAAACAACGATCAGAAATGACAACAGCCTCAGATTATGGCAGGCTTATAGTCGAAACTAGAAGAACACAGTTTAATCCGCCACACATGTAGAGCTTATCCGGCTAAGCGATTCTCATGAGAACCAGACATCTAGAACAAAGTTTGCTACAATGAGTCAAAACTGGAGACCGCTAACATCATTGAACTTGTGTAGTAGCGTTTTGACTCAGTGAGCAGCCAATCGATATACTTTTAACCATAAAACATCGTCCGCTACAAGCTGACTCCTCATGTAAAACATTGATCTTTGAGTGTTATCAATGCCGAGAGATTACATGCCAATGTCGCCATGGAAACGTAGCTCAACAAAGGCGCAAAAATTAATTTGTCCTCGTGATAAACGAGGGCATGAAAAGTAGGTTAAGCTACGGGTTCTTGCGCACATGTCTCACGTTATCCAGTACCTTGGATGCTTTTATTAATTAGCTGTTAACAGCCATTTTACCGTCACACGTCAATTTTTGTAATGTTTATGCTTGTTACATAGCTTTTATCCCAGTTTATAAGTACTTTGACGTAGTAGTTGTTCACTACCTGGATAAATGTTAGGTCATCTTAAATGTGGTTATTTGTGTCAATCTGAACTCAGCCAGATGAAATGCTCTATCTATGGAATCAGAGAAAGACAGTCATCAGAATTTTTGGACAAAAGTGAGCTCTACATACCTTCGATTTATCACCCTAAAGGATGTTGATGAAGAAGGATATCTGGTAGTTGTTTAATAAATGCAGTTTGAGGCAATTCTTTGCCAAACTATTTTTCAATATTACATAGTTTTCTAGTATACAAACATAAAGAGTTCTAACCATTGTGCAAATCATCGTTTTTGACGGAACTGTCATGTTGGTATGTAACTTATCTGAGGAAGAAAATTTTTCTATGGTCAATAATTGACGTTGAATGCCTCTTCTGCTCACTTTCTGAACACATACAGCAACTGTATATAACATTATTGTGAGCATCACATTGATTAGTCACATATTCGTCATAAGCAAAACGATTCACTTTTGTCTAGAACATGGTAACTAAACTATGTTGTTAGTTAACCTTAATTTATGGTGCCTGTTATAGAGTTAAGGAATGAATTTCTGTGGACAGATTTTGAAACCCCTGACAAAATTATAAACACAGATCGAATGCATATGTATAAGTAATATCTAAATTGTGTTTTACGGTGATTTCATATTGTATGTGAACTGTGATTTACTGTCAGCATTATGAGGGTTGTAATTGGATTTCTTTCAAATTTCATGTGAATCAGTTTGAAGATGCCACAGGTATTCGGAGTTTGACAGCGCTGTAACTAGTAACACCTTCTATTATGAACCGTACTCACCAAGTGAAATCGAAAGACAGAAGAGAGGAGTTTCGAAGATATATTCGGTAGGCTTTCAATATATCGAGGATCGTCTGATCTAATCTGGCTAGCGATCGCAGTAGATTTTGAGCACGGCGTTCTCACTTGCGACCTGGTGTGAATGCATAACCGAGCGCCTTTAGCTAGGTGAGCCCATTAAAACTAGTGTGGTCAGCTTCCAATGTCGAAGACTTAGCTATTTATTTTGGGGATTTATTCACCGCTACAAGTTTACGCGTTGTATAAAATCCCTTTGTAGGCACTAAATGACTAGGTGAAAGTCTGGGAGGGTTATAGAATGAAGGACATTTTTTACAACAACACAAATAGCTACATTTTGTAAGTTCGTATTCCTTTCAATTATTGAATTCCATATTCGTAACGAAGTTTAACTGTTTGTTTCATAGCTGATCTTTTGTTTTTAGAGTTGCATTGTTAAGCTCATAAGCCATCCATATGTTTTTCGATATGCAACCTATGACTCCTGTCAGCTAATTGAAAGGCTGAAACTCTCCTGACATTCAAGCCTATAACAGTGAACAACTCAACGAATTTCTGTAAATGGAAAATTATGTGGATGGACAACTTACACGTTGATGATAACTATGCTTCATATTGACAGCTTCTACGTTCATTTACGTAATAAACTATTTAAATTTAAATGTAACAAGTACACGCAATCCTTAACTTCTTTTACAAGAGCGTACTGCAGGCAAAAAATACAAAGCGTCTCAGACCCCGTGAACTCTTGGTGAATATTCGTATTCTTATGCACAACAAATCTCCCTAGTATTCACCCGAATATACTGTCGTAGTGAGGAAAATTATATATATGGCAACATTTTAGCGCAACTTCTAGACTGATGCAGTACTTACCAGCCGTCACAAAGAAACGGGTACATTTGAGGCGAACACTCAGTTATTTTTAATTGTCACAAACAGTTACCCGTTAAGATTATCGGTTTACGTCCCCACGAAGCTAGAATGAAGATGAGCTTTAAAATTGTGTAGGTTTGTTGGTGCATTATTACTACTGGTAAAGTAAGAAGAACATTTGATGCGGAGAAATCAGTCTACAATATATACATATAATTGATTTAATAATAGGACCCTAAAGAACATCTTATGCTAAACAGTTCTTGTCATGCCTCCACACTTTTTATATTTCGATCCGTTTTTATCACAAATCAGACGAAAATAAGCACTGGAGAAACCGGAGTCACACCAGGTTATTGTTGATTCTTAAGTAATAACTGTCAATTTTTCCCACCCTATCATCGCTTACTGCTCACCATATTTATCCACAATCTGTTGTTCACAAGTTTTCTGAATTCGTTGAATATGAGTATACTGTTTGCTTTGCCTGGGGAATAAACTGTTGTGTTATTATATGAAGTATGCGTGTTAGCTATCTTTCATTGACTCCAGAGTTTAAGGATATGACAAACTAAGTGCTTTACACTCTGTAATTGATCGAGCCTACTTATAAGTGTTTGTCTTATATATTCAAGAAGCATATGACGGCAAGGATATCATAATATCACAAACGTTCCACAGTGGCATTCGCAAATGCTTGTATTTACCTCATAAGTTCTAACGGTTTTGGATTCATTATTAAACCGTGTGGTCTACGCTTATAACCAACTGTGCGCTGAAACACCACAAACATATTTGAATCTAATAAAGTAGTGATTTACACAAAGCGCAAGTATCTGGGACTTTTAGGTTGTTCTTATTCCTAATACATCGTTTTCTGGACCTTATTAAGTTTTAAACAAAGGCGGCGCAATTGGCATTCGAGATAAAGTTTCGATGCAACAATCGAGTCACCATATGCACTACAAAACAGAGAAAGTTTAGATCATGCCTTTTACTATGATTTTTGTGATTTTTCTGCAGCAACAGATTACTTAAATATGAGGATACCTAAACTGCATGCAGGCCAGGAATTGAAATCTGAAATAACGGTTTTAAATCAGGCCTTTCAAGGTCGTTGATGAACCAAACATTTTTTGCCATCACTTAAAACTTCAATAATGTTTCTTGTTATTAGAAGAACAAGTGGAGAAAAAGAGTTCAATGTTTGACGCGAAAATGTCGGTGACCATCCTCCAGACATCTGAATCTCAATGGGCTGCAAGTTTATCGTTTCTCCCATATACTGATAGGTCATCACCTCTGACATAAATAACATGAACATAATATTAGAAGAATATGGGACGTTTATATAGAACGATATGTTGCTAAGTACGTTGATTTTCTTCGGGCACTGTTACACACTCCTTACTATTTCTGCTTTATAATCGCTTATCCTACTCTCTGTTACCGTTTTAAAACTATTTTTGTACCTTACGAAACCCTTGTTTAATGCTAAACATAAAGGAATGAATAAATATTAGGTGTTTCAAAAGAAGCTAATGCCAGGGATTGCAGCGTCGTTGGGTAACACTGACCTAACCCAAAATTGGAATGCAAATTAAATATCTTCTATATCCTATAGGACCCTAATAACTAGATTCATCCAGTCTTCAGTGATAAGGATAGTAGGTTGGTGAACCTGTGCTAACCCTGACAGATTGCCTTCCAGTGAAGGTTCAGCTTCTCCTTGAAGACATTCACTGATGGGGCTGATACCATTTGTTCGGGTAAGGCGTTCCAGTCATTGACTACTCGATGAAAAAAATGGGACCCCTCTTCAAGTTTATTAGATCGCAGTCTGTGAACCTTCTTCTTATGACCTCACCTCACGTCCTACGACACGACAAGAAGTAAAGGTTTAGGCGTTTTAAACGCTCATCGTAAGGGAGTTTAGAAAGACCATCCACTGATTTCGTTCCCACACGCTGGACAGCTCAAGTGAGTTAGTATGCTTTACCAGACATGAGCCAGCTGCTTGGACACAGTACTCTAAATGTGGTCTTACATATATGGTATATAAAAATTTCAAACGTTTCCTCGTCAAAAGATTTGAACGCTCGGCGAAGTGACCATAACGCACGAAAACATTTGACAGCGGCTGAGTTGCAATGCGTAGATGTTTTCAAGCCATGACTTATTATTACTCCTAAGTCTTTATGTTCTTGAACGCATGGAAGAAATTTACCGACAATAGTATAATGGCAACTGTTACCGTGACCGATGTGCATTAACACACTCTTCATAGAATTGGCTTCTAAGCTCCAACCTCGAGCCCATTTAACTAAATCGTATTATCAGTGCTTTGAAACCCTTATTAAATAGAAAGCGAAAAAGGCGAATTAGTTATCTTGTTGACGTACAGTCATCCTAAATACATATTAGATATTGTAATTAAACAGTTTGTTTAAACGCATCACTCCGAAGGCGAAAGTCAATCGTGAATGTTTAGAATAGACATACTAGTTATCGACTATGCTTGCTCATGAGTTAATATGCGCCCAAATAGAGCCATCTTTCCGCATTTTTGAGAGATTCAAAAGTTGGGAAAAAGAATATAAAGTAATTTATACTTCTTTTAATATACTGCAACAGGTAAACAGCCTTACTGATAATACTACGGTCTGTTGTGAGCTAATTGAAGCTAATGCTAGTTTGCAGCATGAATTGTTCAAAATTTTAAGGTTGTTCGTGACACAAGGTTAGCCCTTTTTTCCTGTAGTGTAACTAGTGACCAATATTTCTTAGTGCTCTATCCAACTTATGTTTGATTTTTATGCTCTTCCTGCAGGAAGATGATGATATTTCATGAAGCCAATGTAAGACGCGTTGTACCTGGATAATCTATATAAATGATACAGATTAAGGGTTCATAGAACTCGTTAGTTTGATAATTACTGATACAGGTGCTAATCAGATGTTCTAAGACCAGCCAAACATTTGAATCACTATGACATTATATATTATAACTATTTTAATTCACACATTGGATAGTATGTTGAAGTTCATTGAAGGTTTCTGGCACATTACTGTGAACTTAACACTATTTGTGCAGGGCGATTTCCCATCATTAATGCTGCGATTTTAGTGAAGTATTTAGGTTTTCAGAAACTAATCTGAAACATCAGCAAATACAAGTGGATTCCCATGATCAAGATGCTCTGAAGTGTGTTCTAGCAACATAAATAAACATTTTTGAACACAGTTTACAGGTCATTATCCCCTTTAACTTCCGAATCACACATTCATTAGCCTGGTCACTTATTCATCTGAATCCTGAACTGTTTTGAAGCCATTTCAATACGATTTGATTTCGAAAAGAGCAATAAGCTGGATAGAATGAGTTAATTTTAGCAATGCGCACCTTTCACTTCATTCAGATTTTGTCCGAATGCGTCAATAAACGGAGCTTTAGGCGCGTTTTGAGGTAAGAAGTTCCACTAGTTGGTGACTCGGTGGTTCTATGACAGGTAGTTGGTTTTGGGTTTGAAAACGTTTTGGGAGTGCCCTCATTAATTCTTTACTTTAAAACAGAAGAAAAATGAGCGCAAGACACAAAAGCTGGTATTACTGAATTCAAAATTTGTGGTGAAATTACCTCTAGTTTTTCTATATGATAAGTAGAATGGTTTAAGATTAGGTAGTCTCTGGTTGTATACCAGCTTTATGTTTCCGGGACTCAGTTTAGTTGAGCTTTTTTGAGCTACTCTTCAGCTTACTGTTTTCCGTTTTGGTGGAGACTGGGTTTTAAAATTTGACTAACAATGGCGACTTAGTATACTTAGACAAAGGTTGGCTCAAAACTATTTAGTCTACGTGTACTGAGATGGGAAACTACATTATTAAAACTAATGGCTACTAGTTGTGGAAGTTTTCACAAATCAAATTATTACCTTGGGAATGCTTATTATGGCTTACATGATGATAAGTAATACATTATTGGCTTTATTCTTATGTCCCCTTCCTTAATGTTCGTCAATAATCTGATTCTAGGCAGCTTTGCTCGTCAAACTTTATAACACGTATGGTTAGAAGAATCAGGTTTTCTGATCGACTTGTCGTTTGATTCAATGGGTGTTGAGTAGCAAACAGATTAACGACGGAAACTAGTGGATAAAATAATGGTATTATAGGTGCAATCAGGTAAAATGAGGCAAGTATATACTGAGAGATAGCTACGACAGGTGAGTGAATAATTTCAAAGAAATTCTGGATATAGTAAGTCTAATCGAAGCTATTCAAAAGAGATCTGGCTGTTTTTAGCAATATTTATTAGGTACCAAAACTTGGTTTATCGTTAGTTTTTCTAAAGAAGCAACTAAAATAACAATCTTAATATATTCATAGTGATTGGGCAAAGTATCTCATCAAATCATCTTACATCAATATAAATTTATTTTAAAATGTTTAGGTAGCCTTTGTACAGAAAGTAACAAAGTATTTCCTGAAGCCTTTGTTGAGGAAACAATTAAAAAGTCTTATCTGTCACCGGCACTGATTTCAGAAAATAACTTCCATCAAAACCAGAGGGACTTACATTCATGTACCAATATACATCCGACGGCAAAAGATTATCGTGATAAGTTGGATTATTCGAAAAGCTTACCAAGTTTAGAAAATGAGATTTTAGAACGGTGAGTTATCTTAATATATTTAAATAGTTTAATTTGTATACAAATTTTGTTCGATTATTCCGTCTTATCATTTTTGAGACAACTATACATATCTTTCAACTAATTTACTCTGCATTTAATAGTATGATTAAATTCTTTGTTTTGTGACGAAATGTAAAGCCTAATACAAAGTCAAATTCAATGTGATAGATTAACCAATCAACTAAAAGCTCAAAGCATGGAATTTATTCAACCTAATATAGAAAATAAATCAATTTACTCTACTCAAAAGCGACCCAGAGCTATGGTAGATACTGAAAGCATAGTGGCTTCTCCTGTATCTGAATACGATCTTAATAAACCAGTAAATGAACGATGGTAAGACAAACTTTGTTCTATTCTTTACGAATATGCTCTAAGAAGTTCGACATACATATTTTGCGTTTTAATTAAAGTGGTTTACTAATTGTAATCATGACAAGTAGGAAAAATAAACGTCTGAGATTATTTTTGTGACAGGAGGTGAACCACGCTAGTTATAAAAACGCCTTTTTTCAGCTGGAAATTGCAGTTACAGCGTGTAAACTAGCCACTTAAAAAGTATAAGAATACATGTCATAATGGAAGATGAACTCATGGTATTGATGTCATCGGTCGTGTTGTGGTATTTAATTTGGCTATTGGAAATATTCCAAAAATCTTATTTGTCAGTGAAAAATGATTGTTTGAATGATACAAGAAGACCTGAGGTGAATTAAGCGTACAGTTGAATTATAAAATAGCTCTCAAAATGAGCACTCCTATGTTCTGAAATCGACATTTTAGATCACCATATTTAACATTGTCTCTTCAAAATACTATTTTTGTCAGTAGATCAATGAGAATGCTTGCCACTTATCATTTCAAGTACATCCGTTTTGCATTCTCAGTAGGTTACTTCTTTTTATTGTCTATATTGTCCGGTTTATTTTGTCAGAGTATTTTTACAGCTGAATATCACAAATCCTCAAGATTATTTTGTAACGATACTTCTTCAGTCTGGAAGATTTTGTTTGTAATTTGAATAATTATAAACAAAACAAATACGAATGATCGATACATTACGAACAAGCAATAAAATCTACTGTAAGATATATCCGCAAAATGGAGGGATAAAGGCATGTTAACAGTAAACGTTAGATAAAACTGATACATAATTTAAGCAGCAAATTTAAACCTATTTTATTAGCTATCAGTTGTATGGCTATAATTAATCAGTTATAAATAGTGTAGGTCTTAGCACAGGCGTATCATCTGGGCAGGTTTTCTTAAATTTTGCATTGAGACAATGGTGAGGATTAAATAATCGACAGGATAACAGCATCATTAATACCGTAAAGCTCAACGCAGAGAATACAGTTTTTAAAAATAATGATACAGTGAATAACACCGACTTAAAAGTTTATATATCATCACCACCACTGTGTTATGTTTTTGAAGCATTAAATTAAATCCGAAAGTAGTAAAATAAAGTAAAATTTATATTAGTAAGATTTTTCATCTAGTGATATCGTTTACCTATTTATTAAGACAATGAAGTAAAAAATATTGTTTAGGCTTATTTGATGGTGATTTGAAATTTAATTCAGTTATTGTTTAATGTCTTTATACCAATGGATTTCAGCAAAGTTATCTACTATCTGATGCATCAAATATCAATCCAGATGAATAAGTACATACCAATCTAGCAGCAAATATACCGATAATAAACACTTAATGTGTATCTACCTCTGCATTATCCACTTTTCTGACAATATTAAAGTTCAAATAATAACGTTAGCATAAAAGTTCTTCATTTTTCGAATATTTTATCTTTATATGCATATATCAGTTACCTTTTACAAAAACTGATTTTACGGTATTCTTATTTTAAAAATGCTTTTTTTCTAGCAAGAAGTAACTATTAAAAGATAACTTAATAAAGCATTTACGTTTAAGGTAGTCATTTAGTAAAGAAACTACTCTTAGATTAGATAGGTATTATGAATATTTTGTACACACTTATGTATTCTTATATAATATCATCATAATACGTAAATGTTTACAAAATAATTTCTCACATAAATAAAAGATTTTCAAATTTCAATTTAAAATTTTTAGTGATGATGATATTTATCCTCAGGACAGTGATAATTCTTTCATTTCTAATGATCATCTGGTGAAATTTGTTGAAGATAAAAATGTTACAAGTCATCTTCAAAGTTGGCTTTCTCCTTTGGTTAGCCGATATAATGATCTATTCACGAATTTACGAGTGTCGTGTATGGATTATCTTCAATCATTAGGTCAATCAGATTGTGCAAGAAATCAACGCTTGATTTTTCACGCGGTTCAAGTGAGTCATCACTGGCTAAATAAGAAAGTTATAAATTTCATCGCGTCAATCGTTTACCATCTTTATATTACATCTATTAAGCCATTAAATACTACAAACTTATCAGTTTTGCCTTTTTATAAGCTTGTCTTATCTCACAAAATATGTACTAAGAATTATTTGTCATCAATTGATAAACTTTCAAGCTTCAAGTTCAATTTTAAATTAACCTGTAATAAAATCTATTATATAAGTTCATAAAACATACTGGGATTGAAGTTTGTGGAAATCACTAAATTTTCATTTATATATGTATTATAGACCACATCACTCGCCGACCATGGTTACACGACTTTTGTAGGTTAGGAGACGCTTGACAGCCGTTTTTCCTAGTATTGTGCCTCTTAGAAGCGCGCAAATACAGCTTCTTTGCCGATCAAATCCACGGCATTCAGTTCACATGACGAACACTTCATATTTAAACGTATGAGCTGACGTTGATTGTTTTACATGTATAATTTGAATCAATCCTCGAGATTATCTTACCATCTATCGACTTCGGCGAACAACTGCCTTACACATGAATTCACTGAAATCCACTGGTTACAGCTTCCCAACGCAACTACAAGAGTTATGTGTCAAAATGAGCTACTAGCAAGCAAACGGTTATTGTGAATATAAGGGGTTTGTTAAGATCGTTGAGGCCTAATAGTTCTGCATTTTATCCTCGGTTTGGTAATAACCATGTACTGCTGAAAATTTCCAACTAGGACTAAACGGCCATCAAGGGTTTTCTGGTGTTCAGTTATTGTTTAATTGATATCGGTCTGTGTAGTAAATTATAAAACACATTAGTGGAAAAACTGGTTCTCCCCTACCTCGATCTGAGATGTTATTAGAAATCAAAATAGGTAGAGTTACTTGTAAGAAACTCTACGAAAATATCATAAACGTCTTAATATAAACGAGTGCCGATAGAAACATTGTATCATATTCTGATATTTCTGACTTATGTCAGCGAAATGCCAGAAAATTATTAGTTCAAAAGTTTTACTTGGTGTGGTATACAAAAAGTCATTTTGTCATAAGAAAACATATCTCGTTTTTTGAAGTTTGATTATTACATGTCCTTTTATAACTCTTGTTCTGAATTCCCTACTATTGCTTGGAAAATTTCATAGTTTCAACGGTATGTCTTCCAATTTAATATTTCTTTGATAATATGGTTGTATTTAGAGTTCACAAACAAGTAAACTCACTGGCAATTTTTGCTCATTTAGTAATAAATAAATCTTTTGAATTATGTGTCGATGTTGTGTAGGCAGACAATGAGATTTCCATGAATCACTGTTCCTAAAAGATTAAATGATCAATAACCATAATGGTTTAGTCATTGAATAAATCACTTGAAAGTCATTCTAATTAATTACTAAGTACATTTTTTAAATGTAGTATGGTAATAACCTGACGAGTACTCAATTTTTGTAACAAGCGTAAACGATTCGTGCTCATTTTATTCCCAAAGCTAGATGAATTCTTCAGAAATTGTTCGTTAAGAGTGGAAAACTTTTATGATATCTATTTCAAAGTTTTACACCATTAAACCAAGTAACGTCAATGTAACTTCATATGGTAGTGAAAGATGTACTGTATTGTATTATATTTCTTTGAGTTCTTAACGGAGAAGCTATCTACGTTTTTCACTAAAATAACACCGTACATAAAAATTAAATGAAATAAATGTATCTATTGATGAATTAAAGAAGCCTATCTAAAGTAAGGTGAACATAAAACTCTCTATCTCTGTTTGTTTATCTGATTATGCTAATCGATGTGTATACCTTAGATGGTATTATTGGAAGTGTCTCGTTTATTGCAAAATACTACATTGGTGAAGAAAAAATCAATAAAATATTCTACATTTAATTTATATGCTGGAATCTTTTGAGTGATTGGAAAATCATTGATTCACAAAAACTGAATTTCGATTATATAACGATATAACAGTTGAATTGAAGTTTATGGGTGTGGAATACAGATGGTATTTAGATTTGTCCATTTGTAAACTGAGGATAAACATTTGGAGTAATCGAATGATCACACGATGTATTGTTTTTTAATCTAATAGGATCGTTTTGTCTGTCGTAACGTTTTACGTATAATAGATAGTGTAACTAAGATTCACCTTAAAAGAGTTTAGTATAAGACACACCTATCTTTTCTTTAGGCGTTCGCATAGATACGCTAATATTTTGTCGTAAAACAAACGAGTTCAGGTAATAATTATTTGATGAAAAAAATAGTTTACAGGAACGGACCAAATCGATAGAGAATAGGTATTGTGATATTTCAGTTAGTGATGCTAATATGTCACACATTTCGCATGGGGATATATTATTTTCGGAATAATATTGCTCTAGTGTTTAATCTGACTAAATGTTTCTAAGGAGTGATTATGTAATACTAACTGTTCAATTGCTTCTTAATCCCTTATAGGTTTGAACTTAATATTAATCACTAACAAAATCAGTATGAAAAAATTGGATGCCTTCTGTAACGACCATTAATGTCAAAATTATATTTATTATATGGGAAGGATAAATTACAGTACACCCGTTTTTTTTCTATGAGACTAATTAGCTGGTAGCAATTGATTGGCTTTGACAACAAAATGGTATGAATGACATGGCTGTAATTATACTACAAATAAGCTTCAAGAGATCTGTATCATGCTCTAGGACTATTACTATATAACATTCTTTCTTATATCGAGCCTGGTGAAAGAAACTGGACTAAAATATCAATGTTTACTGAGACATATTTGATGATTGATTATCGTTTAGTTCGAATAATCTAGAATTGTACTTTTAAAGTGTTTTTACATTGATGTTTCAGTTTTACAACTTAATATAATAGCAGTAGGTTTATGGGTTTTTCATTAGCGAATAACAGATTTCTATTTGAACTATCAAAATATATTTTTTAATTATTCGAATTCATCAAAGGTAATATTATTTCATACACTGGTTAGGTAATAAAATTTAACTGAGATTTTTTAATTCACTTAAAATATTATTCAAAACTTTTAATATGTCTCGCATGGTATAACGCTGTTTCTGTAGAGCGATATATTTACACTAAAGTGCAGTTCTGGTAATGAACATGTTTCAATTTTATGGAGTTATGATGTCATTAGTATCGTAATGTCACTAAAATTTAAGCACTCGTTTTGTTTTTTAAAACTATCACGACATTTTTTATACAAACATAATGAATGTCTTTTAAATGAGGCTTATTACTCGTATATTAAAGTAACATCATTTCGACTAGGAGTCCCTGGTGGCATTATAGCACAAGGAATATGTCGTTACAATAACAATGTTGAAAAACACAAGATTTGGTAGGTGAAACACATAGTGAATACATCACGTGAAAACTCCACATTAGTAGCTCATATTATAAACTGGATGAAAAAATTTGGTTTGAAAACCTCAACATTTGATGTTCTACCAGTAGATGGTTTGTAAATGTTGATTCCATTTTGAAGTTTCAAATTAAAAACTTAACCTCTTGCTCGAGTCGGTAATTTACTAGGCTCTTCTTAATTCAAATTCTATTGAGTTTCGTAATCTATGTAATTCGTATATAAATTGTCATATTATCGCAAAACTCTTCATCGATCGTCGTCTATGGACACTGATATCAACTATAAAACTATTTTTATAATTTTGTTATTTACGTTTAGGCCGGTTTCACTGTCACCAGCCATGTGATCCATCGTCTTCCCAGTTGCACGCAAAAAGAAAATTATGTGTCAAGGAATGTTGGTGAGCGACAATTCTCCGCATCAGACATATCGCTCAATGCTGATCAATTAGATAAACTTGTAGCCGCAACATTCAGGCGTCTTTCACGCCATGCTCCACCCGAATGCGCATGTCATACTTCAATTACTTCGATGTGTGGGACAAATATTAAACGGCCTATTTCCATAAGACGACCTGTGACATCTCAGGAACTGACTGCTTTAGATAACCTTCTAAAGGAAGTTTGTTGTCTTGCTTGGCACCTACTGGCTGGAAAAAAGAGTCCACAACTAGATATCGAATCAGATGGAATTCAATCTACTTGGTATGCAGATGTGGATAAAGCTGCCAAACCTGGTGATCCATACAATGATAAATGGTAATCAGTCTGTTTATATTGTTTTAGTGAGCAGTCATACAACAAGAATCGTAATATATTTATCAATTAATTCAAAATTTGTGTTTTGTTTTCACCATATTATTTTCAAGTTATCGAAGAAGCTATGATTCAGATCCATCTGCTGGTCAAGTTCACCATTACATTTGGCCATGTTTAATTTTATATAGTCAAAGACCTACTGAAATTCAACAGCGATTTCAATCAACAAAAATGGATAAGACTAATAGATGTAAATCGGTTAAAGCATGTATTTTGGTGAAAGGAGAAGCATGTACACGTAATCCAATATATGCAGCATCGCAAAAAGATAAAGCTGCTGCTTTATTAAATCATGAATATTCTTGTCAGAATGTGTGTAGATGCACGTCACCGCAGAAATATGGCAGATCAAGATCAGCATCAATTCGGAGGGTCTAGCAAATATTGCTTTGCTTTTAGGTAATGTTTTTTTATCGTCCTCAGCTTTCAATAGTTTTTTAGTTTCGTCGGTTTTTCCAACGAATAGTAAATGTATTACATAATGTTTAATTTCAGAAACGTTCAGTAGCTAGTCTGTCATCCTATCATATTTTTAATTAGAATTATAGTTTATGCAGCGTGCATTCGCCAATTTAGTTTACAAAAAATTTGTCAATTTTTCGGACAAAAAGGTAATAACATACAATAGGTAATCACCGTAATGAGTTTTCACTATGTTTTAATATTAGATTGCTAGAATAAGTCTACAGGAAACTCTGGGTATAGGTTTCGCGTTAGTTGACACACGTCAGAAGGGGACGTCTGGGCTCATGAGGGAACTGGCGATTTCCCTACAATTCAGACGCGCTTCATTAAGCTTTAGAATTTTGAACCTTACTACTGAGCCACTCCGGTAATGACATGCATCCTCTAATACTGAGATACTAACATGTTAACTAATATCATGTTTATCTACTTCAATTCTTTTGTTCTTAATACGTTCATAATCAATGCTCTAACGATTGAGCTAATAAGGTATTTAATTTAATTTTGTAAACAGTAATTATTTGTATTTTATAAGTGCAAAAGGATTTATTCATAACCGTAGTTTGCCTACCACATTATACTGAAAAAACCATCTACGGATTGTATTTTGCTTCTTATTTGTACATAATACTGGTTCTCAGTTAGTTATAACATGTTTTTCTGTTGATGAGTTTTGAGAACATTTAACCTTATGTTCTATAAAAAATATACGTTTAAAACATGCATATTGTATAATTGAGTTTCTTTTTTTACAGGCGATTTAACTGAGTAGTTCCATACTGAATAAATCACAAAAGTCAACTCATAATTAGTACAGTTTACTTGTTTATAGAAACTAATCATTAAATCATTAACATCAAGAGTTGTACCACTAGAATAGTTAGAAGTATTTAGTTTTATCTTAGATACTAGAGAACAAGATCCGAAATAAATAAGAAATGAAAACAGAACAAACAATTCCACTTTCCTATACGTGATAAGTGATTGACTCCTCAGAAGTGCTCATTCACGGCCCCAACCTGCGGGACTCGAACGCAGGACTTATCAGTTTCGCTCGCGAGCGCTTAACCACCAGACTACTGAGCCGGAATCGAACGGTGTTAATGTTTAACTTCAAATTATCGACGAAATTAAGCGACACATCCATCACCATTATCAGTGAGTTACTATCTCACAACAGACTCCACTGGTCACTGCTTCTCACTAGAACTCCATGAAATACCTCCTGAAGCTAGTCACTAGTGAGCATATGTTGATTAATATCAAAAGAGGTTTTGTGAATATTATAATAATTTCAATGGTTGAATTTATGAATCAATTAAAGCTAGACCACCGTGGAAAACCTGGAAGTATATAATTATCTTTAAGATTTTGAACAAAATATATTAATTAAAATGAAAGATTAAATATTATAAGATATAATGAAAATAATTTAAAAACACTAGTAAATAATAGACTAGAATCGAGTTGTATATTTAATAGAAAGTTGTTTCACTGATTGAAATCATGAGCCAATTGAAGCTAGACCACAATGGAAAACCTAGAATCACTGGACGGCCGTTTCGTCCTAGTTTTGTACCCCTTAGCAGTGCCCATCCACGGTCCCGCACCCCGCCGGATTCGAACCCAACACCTATCAGTCTCGCGCCAGTCGCTTAACCAACTAGACCACTGAGCCGGCATCCAGCGATGTTAATGTCTAACTTCAACCAATCCAGGAAGTTGCGCCACCATACACCATCGTCTTCAGTGAGTTGATATCTCACAACAGACCTGATTGAACTCCACTGGTAACGGCTTCTCACTAGAACTCCAGGAATATCTCTTAAAGTCAATCACTAGTGAGCACATGACGAAACGGCCGTTCAGTGCTTCCAGGTTTTCCATGGTGATCTAGCTTCAATTGACTCATGATTTCAATCAGTGAAATTTCTGAAATCTCCACAAAACCCCTTCTGAGAAAGTTGTTTGTTTGTTTGTTTTTTAAATTATTATTTTACGTAAAAAAAGTTTCATTATTTCTATGGTTAACAATTAAATTTCATGTGTTATTTAATTTTCCTATTGACTAATTATATATTTTTCACAAAAGAAAACGAATAATTAATTGACTCATATTAAATAAATAAATTTATACTTTAATATTATTTATCATGTGAACTATTCATTTCAAAGTGTTTGATTAATCACGTTTCTATTTTTATAATAAAAATATAAATGAAGTACTTTATTATTTATCAAATCATTGACTTATATCTAATCAACAATTGTTTCTATATAAACGTTTACATTAGAGAAAAAGTTATCATTATTTTTTTGAAGAAACTATTAAGTCTATATATTTTTGCACTTTAAAGCTTTTCTCTCTATTATTTTTCTTTTGTTCTTTTTTCTTTTTTTTTACTGTCTGAATTTGATTTAAATCAATTATGATTTATTCTTTTATAAATAGTAATTAGTAATTAAATGAATTAATTATTGCATTAATATTTAGTAATTTTCTTAAGTCTTTGGATATATCATATAATATATAAAGTATATTTTTGTTAAAGATCATCTGTGATCTGAATATTTTAGAGTTAATTTATATTGACTGTAATAATTAGTGATATTTATTTGAATCTTATGAAGAGGAATAGTTCCTAAGATATTGTAGATATACGTTGTGTTGATGTGAGTGTAAACAAGTATGACATTCAAGTTTTAAAAAAAAACTTCTTGCTAGATCGTTTTAATCATTAAATATTATGCAAATAATTGTACATATTTCTTTTGGATATTTATTCAGAAGTACTTAAGAATACTTGAAAATAGGCATATGTTAAAAGCTTTTAATAGAATTAGCTGTAATTCACAATGAAGAGGCTTAGATAGGATTATCAATTTTCTGCACTAAATCATTACTCACTAAAATGTCATACATTTTTTCCTTCATTTATGATTCAATCATACCTATGTACAGTTTTAATATCTATTTAGTTAGAATGATAAATTTCTAATCATGAACACAAAATTAAACTTACATTTATAATTTTTTTAAAAATTTTAGCTCCTTAGTATTTATTAAAAAGTTCTGTCGTTTCGAATGTATTACATGAGATGAGAGTTCGCTGTTACTTGTGATAACCTAATTGATGCAAACTGAAAACCTAAACAATTAAAAAACAATCTGATATATATTTTCTGAAGTGATTATATATATATATATATATATATATATATATATATATCGGATAGAAAAGTTATCTTAATCTTTACATTTTATGACATGTTGACATGTTTATGAACCATATGATGATGAGCACCAAACAAAAATTCGAAAGATTCATTTTATTTGGAGTCGGATTGTGTTGACAAGAATGGAAATCTTTTTCATTCCGTCTTTACCTAGCTATGCAGATACAATGAAGTACACTCATGACATACATAAAAAATTAAAATGTGTTTTGTCTGTGGCATTAGCTTTTTAAGTTTATGGGACATAACACAGAATGCCGTCGTTATAGTAAGTGCACGGATTCACATAGTTTTTTTAACAGGTTTTTTTTCATATATAAATTACGTGGTATACTTCAAAGATGTAAGAATAATTTAGTTTGGATAAGAAATTTATGTTTTACCCAAATAAATAAAAGTTTAACGTCGAATAAAAAATTGATTTAGCATTTTAATGTGAATACTAGTGGTTCTAGTTTGGGCAACTTTTGACAACAATCTCATGCAAAAAATTATTCTAAAGTAATATTGAATTAATAATTAGTTGCTTACATTTTGCATCCAGATAGGTCGATTGACATTGAGGTAAAATGATGTATCTGATCAGTTAGTTTGTTGGAATTCCATTAATTACATACACACCTCTTACTCATAGGCCAGTTAAAGATCACAGTGAATTGCATTGTAAATGTGAATTGCAACTGAGCATTGTAGCTCACTATGGAAAGCTTAGAGTGATTTCAAATCATTCCTAAACTATGAGTTTCATTTATTAACAATCATTCTTTCGGCCTAAAAAGTTTGGAATGGTAGGCGTTTCCAAATAATTCGGAATTTCGATAAAAAGTGAAAAGAATTCATATAAGTAGCCGATTTCAAGTAGACTTGGGTATTTATGACTATATAAGTAAATTTCCAGGAAACCTCTTTTATAAACGTAATTAATGTGCTGTATAGTGTAGATTAACAATAAGCGACTTTTGAAACTGCTAATGTAAGCTTTTCATTATCTTTTAAAGCGAATGGTTGTCATGAATAAACATGATACGATTAGACTAGTAAATTAACCAGTGATTAATCAAATTTTGTAGTGTATTAAATATTTTCTAAAACCACTCCACATTTTTAACTTAAGTTTTCAAAGATGCTTCACACACAGTATCCCTAAATATTATTTGTTTTTCCAACTTTAAAAACCATACTTCACATTAATACTTAATTCGTGCATACAGATGTTGATTTTTTGTGTGTCGTCAATGTGAACCTTCTAGCTTGGTTATGAACTTGGATGACTTGTTCAACAATTATATTCTTACAATTTTTTCTCTATGACCTATTTTTTCTCCACCATCCTAACAGTCATCGTTCTGTTGGGTAGTCATTACTGTTAGGTTCTGCTTCAATGTGAGTTGGTAATGAAATCCAATTGGCTAAAAAGGTGGATTAGATTTTAAAACTGATCAGTCTCAATAAATATATTACATTATTGCCTTCAGTTCAGATACATTTGGTGATGAATGATAAGAATTCTGTTGTCATATGGCCCGCCAAATATCACGTGACAAAATCGCTAACCAAAATACCAACTTCTATGTAATTTTCCCTGTGCTAAACCAATGATACCTTAAGCATCACGAGCAGCCTTGAGTCAACTGTGAGTCCTTATTGATCTTCTGTACAATAGCTTTACGCCTGACCCAGCCTGTTCAATCTAGAACACAAATATCAGCCACCGCTATATGAATCATATATTTCAAACATACGTAGTCTATGTACAAACAGACTAACCATAACGCGTCATAAGATGAAAAAATAATTATCATGCAAGATCAAGCCAAAAGTGGCTGTGTGTATGGAATACTGTCACTAACAAATTGAGAATAAATTATATATATATAATAGTTTATAAATAAATCCTGGAAGTTACCACTCGTTTATTTCTTCATTCAGACATAACAAATTCAAGCACATGAAATAAGGTTGTCTATAATTCTAGTTGACATAATCATTTAATGATCTCGTTCATTATTGGGTTTATTGAGTTTTAATTTAATTACAAAGAAAGTTCATTGAGAAACAAATAAATTAAGATCTTAAACTTTAAATAAAACAACATTCAAATTCCCAATAGAGTTTGTTGACTAATAATTACCACAGGGTGTTTTTTTTCACATCTTGCTTACCTTACACTTCACTATATAAAGATAAACTATCTTTATAATAAGGTCATGTTTATAAGATGAGTTATATCTCAATATAAGATAAGCTGCATAAAAATAAAAGATGTTTGCCTAAGGTAAATTGGTTACTGAAGGGCATGTTATAAACATATTTCTAAAATTCTGTTCAACAATTTGTTTAGTTTCATAATGATTCTATTTAGTGATAAATAAAAATTTGCACTGAATCAGTCAATACCATAATTTCATTATCTGTTTAAAAGCATTCATAATAGATATTAATGCTAGTCATAAATAATAATAAAGTATTACCTGGTTACAACCGTTTAATTATTCATAATTAACAAATAATAACATGTCTATATTATTTTTCTCCTAATACAAAACGTGTATGATGATTTTATAGGGATTCATGTATCTAAACAATTTATAATCAATAATTATTGATTATTAATACAGTTACTAATCAGAAATGAATTACTGAAAAAAACGATTTAAAATATAATTACAAAATAAATGTAATTGATTCATTATTAATTAAACAATTTCCACATAGAATATAAAAATTCTTATATCTTTCTTGTTTTATTTGTTTGTTTGTTTTTTAATCACTATGAACAATATCGATTAATTTGACTGTATTCATTCTTAGATTCACTTGAGAATTAAAAGCAAAAAAAATAAATCTCTATCATTTTTTATTCAATATACCGTACCTTATCTAATTTAATATGCATGTCAATTAAAAAAAAAAGAAACTAAAGTAGGTATAACGTTAAAGTGGAATAAAAAATTACTTTTTATTAACTTTTAACTTATTTATTATTCGTTAGTAAAAATATTGTTAGACATTTATTAAAGTTTATTTTAGTAAAAATTAGTAGTTGCCTAGAATTTTCTAGAATATTCCGCCCATTTCTATTTGTTTATTTATTTACTGTAAATTTTATACATGGTAAGCGTTGGTATTGTGATTTTGAAAATATTGATAAGCATTAGTGATTCGTTTATTCGTTTAATGATCATCATATTAAAAGACTAGTATTTAAACAAAGAATAAGTTTAACTCAACAATAAAGGAATATTGGTAGTCTATATCACTTGTAACTTTATCTAGAAAACTGATGATATGGCGAGCAATGCCTAGATTTATTGAAGTTTGAATGACAGATGAAATTGTTTTTCACAGTAGTGTGTGACAATTTTTCACATTTAAAGAAGGGTTATTGATGCTTAATAGTATAATATGATAAATATAGATTAATACAGTAAGTTAGTTTTGTCAAATATAGCTCAATTCAATCTATACAAATTTTACTGTTTATCTAACTGTAAATAAATCATATAAAAAGTAGTGTATTCATAAATCAATTTGATTTATTTTAGGAATCATATAAATCCTTATCATCAGTCTTTGGTTTTACACTGCAACTTTTCTGTTGTGTTCGAATCACCGTGCAGATTTAGTCTGGAGTTATGAGTAGTGACTAAGAAGTCGGATCGAGTACTCAATTATCAGACTTATCACTAATGAATACCAGAAAGCACTAGACAACTATTTCATCTTAGTATGATAATACTCATCAGTTCAACAGGTGATCAATCTATTCTAGTGTCCAATGGTTGTCTAGATAAAGTTTCTCCTGAATGTGAGCTAAAGATTGAAATCCTCTACAAAATTCCTAATCAGAAAAGTATGGTTAAGCTTAGACAATTTACATTTCTAAAAATAGAGGATACGAATTAAAATTTTCAGTAATAATGGTTTGCATATATTTTGCTGGATGATATAAAATATATATATTTGAATCACTTTGTAGATAATTGGAAAACAAGAAATTCTAGTTTGTAGTAAATAAAGGCGGTTGAAAGTAATAATGTTATTACGAATTAGATAAAATATTCATTCAAAGACTACGTAGCATGCAAATTATTATAACTTAGGTGAGAGATAGTAACAGTGAAGTGATTACTAAATGAAGAAACAATATATAAATAATCTTAAACAAAAGAAATTGCTTTAAATCAGTGAAATAAGGAGCGTGATGTATGCATTGGTCAGAATGACCAGAGTATATGTGTTTTTATAAAGTAATGAGTCATGAACTCTAAAAGGGAGGACGCACATTTAGACATTCCCTAACATTAACTTTCCTGTTAGTCAGTCTACTTTGTCCTGATCTGTATCAATTATTCCACTTAGCAATGGGTGGCAGTTATTAGTTCTATCTGTGTCCATAGCTTTCTTTAACTTGCAGCCTCCAATAATATACTCCTTTTATAAACACTTAAAATACAAGTGAGTCTTTACAAATACTAAGTTTTGTCATAATGTTCAGTTTGTAAACGTAAAACAATTGTTGTTGCTATCTGGTGCACATAGTAAAACACACTATATGTATTTCATTTCACCTTCTTTGTCGTATTTACAGAAAGAAACGTAGTGTTGACAATTTATTCAGAAAGCTTTGTTTATTCAGTAGAAAAATTCGGAATGGTCTGCATCAATTAATCCTTTTAGTTATTCTGTAACAAATCAGTTAGCTGTTGAATTTATAACTTTTTATGTCTTTTATGATCATTATTATTACTACTGTAGTAGTATTGACTGTGTTTATAATTTAACAAAACCATGACGAATTTTGTACAAAACAGTTATTTCGCATAGATTTTTAAATAAAATTTCTATTTTATAAGTTTTTTGATTTCTTTTTTGTTCATTGTATGGAACAAGTTATATTGGCAGGTATTTTAGGAATTTGTATGTTCTTGATCTCGAACATCTTCTAGTGTAGTTAAGTAAAGGTATAGTTAAAACTTTTAATAGCTCCATTCTAATCCGTTTGATATAAATAGGCCATAGAGTCAACATGGAGCAATCATTTACAATAACATATCATGTTAACAGCTATCTGCCTAAAACCGCCAGGCTGAGAATCACTAAACGTTTGAAGCAACAGCTGTTCAGATCAGAAAGCAAAAGTTTTACATCCGGAAGAAATATGTTCAACCCCTTCTTCTTCCTTGGCCAACTTCTGGCCTAATTAGTTAACAATCATTTTGATGAAATGCTGACATAATTTTATAAATGTTCATACAGCCCTCTTTATGTTTTTATAGCTTAAACTTATTCATACATGCTATTATTATAGTTATTATTATTATAAATCTTCCAAAGGTTTTGTGAAGTTTATTTTAGGTAACGAATAATTTTGAATTTACATGCTATGACTTTAAACGATTTGTTCGCCTTAGATCTGGCCAATATTTGGACTATTAATTTGGACATATGGTTGTAGGATCTGAAGAAAATTTATTGAAAAGAATATTCTTCGTTCAGATATGTCTTAATATGATGAGAATTTTCCGTTGATTAAAATTGCATACAAGTATCATAATAATAATATAATGTATTCTGAAAATAATAATTACAGAATTCATGCCAGTTTACAGTCATGATCAGCTTGATATAAATTGTAACATTAAATGTAACAGGCAAACATGTGATATAAGATGGTCTTAAGTTTGCTAGTTCAAAAATTGTTTAGGTACTACATTTGTGACATATAATAAAGCTATGTAATGCATCGGCCGAGAACTTTTAATTCTTCTTAAGTGGATATCCTGTTGATTTATGAACAATACATTTAAGGTCATTTCCTGAGCCATCATAAATTAATTATAACCATCTACGATTAGAGAAAGTAAAATGGAAACAGCGAGTACGGAACAACAATGAATTATTTACCATGGTATATCTATGAGTTAGGTTTATATTATAAATTTTGGTTGAAGAGATTACATATTCACAGAACGGTAGTGGATATTTGCGACCTAAAAACAAGCTGTAAGGCATTTGGACTAGAAAAATGCATTATATCTTCAGGTTAAAAGCATTTATCAAAATGATATGAAAACAGTATACACTGTGCTATGTATGTACAACTTATAGTAACCACGGTAATTACTACAACTGTCTACTTTTGAATACTAAGAAATGAGTTTATTGAGTATGTTTTACTTCAACTGACTAATACCTAATACTTTTGTAGGAAAGCGTAAATGTAGTCGGTTCGTGATAAAAGTAATCATTAAGTTTGAGATGATATCTATAACCACTCTCCTAGACTTAGATTTGTTTACCTTTTTGTCAAGCCCTTCAACTGACATATTTGACAGACAGAATTATTTGAACAGTAATAATATGTCCATGTCCAAGCATGTTTCTTAATCACATGCTGCGTATAGTATATATATATATATATATATATATATATATTTGAATTTTATTAATTGATTCTACTCTTAATTCGCCACTGTGTTTGCTTGTTCACTCTCATTAACATTTCTGCTCTACTTCCCTAAAATGTATTTGTGGCTTTGTGATCTATTCTGTTCACTGGTAAATTGTCATTAGTTTATTTGTGTCGAATCAAAAGGCTCATATCTTCCGAAAGTTGGTTTATACCTCACAACTGAGGTTATTTGGTCATTATATACAGATATGTATATTCAGGACCATGACTTAAATTAATCTATTTCTTTAGGTCATTCTTGGTTGTGAGCCGTTAAATTGTTTTTCGTCATTTATTACGAATACATCTACAATAAATATCTTTCTGTCGGCCAGAATATTAAATCATATCATCTGGGAATAGATTCCTTCCTACTTCACCCTTTACTTTTGTGGTAGAGCAATTACATTGTGATGAAAAGATATAAAGAACTGCACTGTATTTTATCTGATGACACTGATTAAAACTATACTGTAGTTGCTCCTTTGACTAAAGGGAGTATCGTCACTATCCTATCCATTAATTTTTATATAGTCGACTGTAGTATAAGAGCGAAAATTTCGAATAAAATAACTTAGTAAATTGTAAAAGGCGATGAGCAGAACAAACGTCATCCTTTTACATTCCAATGATCCATTTGTGTCGTAGATCTTTAACTTGTTAGCTACTTTCGTCAACTAAGGCTTTGTTTGTTCATTTTGACTAATTGTACAAGTTGGATTTTGTTCCATATGGCTTAAAATTACTGTACATATACATTAATTATCTACGTAAAATAATGTACTCCTTTTTTAATAAAATCCATATTCAGTTACCTTGTATTTTGTTTTCCTTATTTGATTCTGTGCAATAATAATTACTGGGCGAATATACCAGAGACAGTGCCTACATAGTTGAGGTAGATACGTTTGTTGATATTCAGACCAATAGATGTAACAAATTGTCATTCAAAATGAGGATATTTTTTTCAAAATAAAATAAGAAGAAACAAGAAAATTCTAAATGTATAGTGTATACCACATGTACTGACAGATATAACTAGCACATAGCATCAATCAGAGGTGGAGTACCTGTCAATAGAAGGTTGAATTGAAGAGAACAGAAAGAGAAACAGAGAGCAATTGTAATCACAACGGAATGAGTATCGTGCGCTTGATATCAGCATATGTGCACAACATCTAAGTTAACTGATAAAATGACAGATTATATTCAACACATTGTTTTCTATTCTGGTAAACATTTAATTATTCACACCAACCCACTAGCAAGATGAGTTTTACAGACTCTGGCTACTTATACATTATTAAGTAGTACAGATTATAACTTCAAAGAATATTGAAGTAAAAAAATTAACAATGATAAATTATTAAAGAAGTTAGTAAAAAATCTGAATTAAGCTCCTAATTGCTCAATGGTTTCTACTGAATTTTGAAAATGTAATTTGATTAATCTAATGAAGTGTGATGGAAATCTATGTTAACTATGCTTACTTTATTGAATTTTCATTATTGTCCGAAATTATTACATAAGAAATATGTAAAAGTCTTAATTTTCTTAAATATTATGGCATTCTGTTAATCCTTAGTGGATGCGAAATATTCTGAATTCATGTGGAAATTCATTAGTATATCCTGACTTGAATTCTTTTTCATTTGATTAGCTGCTGACTCTCAACAAATCTTTTGTGTTTCGGTGTCTTTTCCCCTGATTATGAAAGTTTTATACGACTTATTTTTTCAATAAAAGGATGATATCTGTTGTGTTCAAAAATTCAATAGCTGTAGATGTCATTCTTGCTCACTAAGCTAATGAGCATACTTAAAGAAACAATTCATACTAACTTTTAAACTTTAAAAAATTATATTCAAATGTTCATGTTTATTTCAGTTTCCTTGGGAAACAAGAAAGTTTTAATGACTTAAGAATTTTAGTTTAATTTAAAATGCATGTGAGAAATGTTCACAAAACCTACATCCTCAAATAAGCCCTTATCAAAACATCTCAAAAATCCAATTGCGGTTTGTTCAATTTACCTGAATGTTTATTTCACTTGAACCTGAAAATCATCTCAAATACTATCAATGAACTAAAATACAAGTGTAGAATTTAGGTTACTTATAAACCGATAAAATACACTACTGATTGTCCGACCGTAATTTCGTCCGTTCTGTGGTTAAATGAAAAGCATCAAACAGTTTTTCAAATAATGTTTTCACGTGAAATGTAACTAATTCACTTTATTTACTTACAAAATAGAGGAAAAACATTTTATAAATTTTAAAATCATAGATGTATAATCTCAACCCAGTTATATGAAGTTTTAATGATACTATGGAAATAGCAAGTATAAAAATTGAAAAGTCAAACTGTTTGGCTACCAAAACAATCTCCGTTAATGTTCAGTTCCAAAATTAATTTACTAAAGTGAACAATTTAAAACAGTAAATTCATATCATAATCTACCATTCTTCAACTCAATAGATGTGAATCAATATAGTCACAATCTGTGTGAAAAACGCCAAAATTACAAGAAGTTTCAATTACAAGTCCTCGGTTTGAAGTTAGTTTTCATCACAGGCTGACATCAGTTCAACAGCATATATGTATAAATGAACTCAGATTACATCTTGTGGCAAAGATCAATCTAGTAAAAATATTGAAAGTTGATCAATTATATTACTCAAAAAGAATTTACTTACTGAATAGATAAGTAATAAAGAAGTTAACATTTTTTTGAATTATAAACGAAGTGTCAAAGCTTAACAAACATCAAACTATAATTAGTTTTCTACTCAGCTCGAGTTCTAAATTTTCTTGAATAGATCAAGTTCTTATGCTGATGTAACAAGTTAACATATTTGCAGAAATTTCACCATTTAATTCTATCAAAACTATATGTGACGAGTCAACTATTTATACTTTATTCTTTTGGAAAAAATGAATGCATTTTACCGTCCACAACACACCATATGAACAAGCCAAATGTGAATGTATTACACGATATTGCAAGAATAAATAGCATGCAATCAAAATATTGTCCTCATGTATAAGTCCAATTTTGTTTTTATAACACTTCAGACAGACATAAATCTATATTTCCCAATATATCCCTATTTCTAAGTTGACCTATTTAAATTAGTATTAGTTAACTATTTTATGCTAGTACAAAACAACTGTCTTCAAGCAGCTGATACAATTTTTATAAAGATTCCTTTGATTATGTTAGCCAGCAATGATCAATATGCGGATTACGTTACAAATTATTAAAGTTTATTAGCATACACTAAAGTTGATTTTAACGCGTTTATAAAAAGTTTAGTCGGCCCAAAACTACAAACGCTATTACTATTTATTATTATGTAAACAACGGATAATATAGAAATGACT